AAGTTGAAGAACTGCCAAACCACATTGGTAGATGGAATTTCCTCATCCTGGAGTCCCCTAGATCAATAAAATTATAGTTTCAGTCTCAGAACCAACTTGTTTATAGCACCTATTTTAGATTACAAGACATGAAGTGGCCTGTATCTTCTGTTATATTCCTGATCCCTCTGTCCTGCAATAATGTCTGGTATAATGTTTTGAGATCTTCTAGATGAGGGCTACTTAGCCTGAGGTAACTGAACTTGCTTGCTTTATAATATTTTAATGTGTATTTCAACACAATTGGTTTCCTTTATAATCCTATGTTTGTTACTACATGCATTTAAAAACATTACTCTGAGATGGTCCATAGGCTTCACCAGACTGCCAAGGGGGTCCACAACACAAAAAAGGTTGAGAACCCCTAATCTAGTCAAACTCCTTCATTTTATAGGGGAGGAAACTGAAGCCCAGTGAAGTTCAGTAACTTGCCCAGCATCACCCTAGTAGTTGAAATTCTTAAGGTAAGAATAATAATGATTTGACATAGAGACAAACAATGTTATCTTGGAAGTAATAATGATTTTTTTAAAAAGACATTTTAAAAAGACCTGAGGAAAGAGAGATCAAAATATAAGGCGACCTGATGTCACACTATTCCTGACTTTCCAGGAGTTTACAATCTAGATAGGAAAACAAAACACATGCCAAAATGATGGCAAGTTACTATGGTAAATCATAAAGGAGGTATTTAAATGAAGAGAAGATACAAAATCAGATTAGTTTGGGAATCGAAGCCTCCCTAGAAGAATTTAACAGAACTTTGAACACAGCAAAGGACATGGAACAGCGAAGAAGAGGTAGGTAAGCAGCAATTCAGGTGGAGAAACAAGACAGTTCACAGAGAAAGCAAGCTGGTGATATTCAGAACACTGAGCAGAGAAAGGGAAATGAAAATGACTGTCAGATAAGGCAGTCAGAGGAAGAAGAGGGAAAGGAACTAGGTAGGGTAACAACTGAAGTTTCTTATGTTACAGAAAGGGAAAAAAAGTCAAATGATCAATTTGAGTGACAGAAGGAATGGACCTGATAACATGATTCTTAGGATAGCAACCTAGGATGAAACAGAAGATAAATACATGGCATATGCCTAGAAAGAGGAAACGTCTAAGGAGAAACAAAATTCTCTCGGAATAAGCTTGGAATTTGAACTTATAAAAACCTTTATTAAAAAGCAAAAGGTATATCAATTATACTTTCTTCTTGGTACCTAGCATATTACGAGCATTAAGTAATTAAATTATGTTCCAGATTAAGAAGTCACATGCCATACCAAATATTGTCACTCATGTTAAGAAAATGTAAAAATGCATCTGAAAGAGTAAGCATTCTAGGGGTTTATGTGTATCAAAGGGTGTTCCAGGAGAAAAAGAAAAAGTGGCAGAGAAGGGTTAAAGTGCAAGGAACAGAAATGAAATAACAAAAAGCAAGGTGGAAATGGATTGAAGTTCATTAGGAAAATCATTTCAGTTTCAATGGCAAATTGGGTTAATAATTCTTGTTCAAATCTTTTCATTCTTGCATAGGAGAAACATACACAGTTTACACTTATCACAAGGAGTTAAATGAAATAATTAAGATCATAGATTCAAAGCTGGAAAGGACCTTAGAGGTCTTCTAGTACAACCCCCCTCATTTTAAAGATGAGGAAATAGAAGACCAAAGAGTTTGGAAAATTTGCCAACAATCATACAAGTTGCGAAGTGACAGAGCCCAAGTCCTCCTACTCCAAATACAGCGATCATTCCCCCACAGTATGGTGCTTCCATCTTCATTACTAAACCCAAAACAACTAAAACCACAAAATCAAAATTTGGCTTCCACACTTTGGAATAAGGTTTTTCATGCACTCAAATGTTAGGATGACATATCTAAAACTGCAAACTCTTCTTTATTACTTAACACTCAAATCACATTAACTAGCAAGTGGAAATAAATCAACATTTAAATTTTATATTTTCAGTAAACCAAATAAAAATCACTGACTGTATTCTGTGCATCTTAAGCAAAATTTTCAGGGATGTCTATCACTGATCAAATACTCCAAAAGAATTCAAGGATGTCTGTCACTGATCAAATACTCCAAAAAATCTAAGTATTTATATACATTTATATACATTTGCATTAAGCTTTGAGACCATTTTAAAACATTTGAGCCACTGCATATAACTGGTAACAGTATTTAGGACAAATGTAATTTTTGTAAATATGCTCACACAAAAAAAGGAAGAATCACAAAATGCTAGAAAGTAAAGATGGAAGGGGACTCAGAAATGTCAGGCTCCTTTATTTTACAAGTGAGGAAACAAGCCTAGGAAAGTTAAGTGAATTGAGATTGTGTCTACTTTCTACGTCCAGGCTGTCAGAAGAAGAAAATAGTCTCATAAACTCATCAAGCTAGAATCCAACAAGCTTAATGGACCTGTGGAGATCTAAGACCTATAGTTACTGAGTGAACTATGCTTTTATTAAAGGGGAAAAAAAGGAAAATAGGAAACATGACTACAGAGCTGGTCTCTAGGTAAGACCTGTAATTCAAGCCAACTCTTGGACACACACCTGGCTAAGTGACTTGGAACAAATCATCAGTGGCCTAGGAAATTCTACAGTTTATAAACTGCAAAGTAATGGAGGTTCTGCAATGATACATGGAGTTTCCTACCAGAAAAGGGGAGAGGGGAGGGAAGGAGGTAAGGAACATTTATTCAAATAACAGGAATAACACTTGGTTTGAAAAGTTCTTGACTCAAAACCTTGACTCTTTATTTGTGGCTCCCCCAAAAGGAGATAAACAAAAATTACATTAAAAAAAAAACAAAAACTGGTTCACAGACTTACTGCTTGATATAATGATTTTCTTCTGTAAGTCACCAGGACAGAGAAACAAAACTTTGCAAAGTACTCTTTCTTTGTAAGAGAACTGCTGCTCTATTTAGGCTTTGTTGCTTTTGTGCCAAGGATGTGCCATATAAGGAATCCAAGTTCAATGTCATTTATTTTGTTGGGCTTTTTCAGATGTCCAGGAATAACCTCTTTGGTTAGCTAATAATACATTCAAAAATCATAAAGAAGATCAGTTGTGCATTTTATACTGCTTGAAAAGGTAGTTTGATTTAATACTTACTTACTTGCCCAAGTAACTAGCAACAAAATAACTATCTAGAAAGAAAAGGCTCTGATAAAGGCCAACCTTAACATGTAGCAGTAAAATTTTAACATTTGTCTTTTTGCATTTACTACAGATTAAAGCTATTGGGAAAAAGTAATAATACATTTGATCAACATATTTTAAACTTGGACTTTCTTCTTTCCCTAAGGAAGCTACCATCTTTTTCCTCAACTGACACAAATTATTTGAGATTTGATAAATAAACTAAATATCAAGTGATATTTTAAAGGGTAATTACCTACAGATTTTTCCTTGTATTCAAAAAGACAATCTCTTTGCTCCTTAGCCCTCTAAGTACTACTGAGACAAGTTTAACTAACTACCCTTTCACATTAACAAATTCGGATCTGCTGAAACCCAAGAACCAACTGATAGAATCTATTAAGTCTACTAATTGTTTTGAACACTTAGACTGAACTAGGTAGCCTCTGACATCCCTTCCAACTCAGATTTTGTGACTTTAAATCAGTCTACAATAATTTTTGCCATGCTTTTTATTAGTCCAGACTGCAAAATTAAATTTGATAACTCTCACTAGAAAGAAATCCATTTTGTAATATATTTATGCCAAAATGGTACAATCCTCAAAAAGTCAATCTTAATAAATACCAGAAAAGTTGTGTATAAACGTGTACTGCGGCTGTCATACAGATAAATAGTATCAGAGGCTTATCAACCTAGTTGCAGGTGTTTTTCAAAACTTACACTTCCCTCTTTACTCGGAAGAACAAGGAATCATATCCCTTATTTCCACTCCTTTCTAAACTGGGCACTAACAAGAAAAATCCGATTAAGGTAACTGTCTTTTAACAAACTCGTGAAGTAATTCTTTATCATATGGTTCTTCAAAGGGCCCAAATAAATGCCCTCTCCTGCAGAGAAGAAAACGCTGGCTAAATTTTACTAAAATCTCTTTAAATCTCATCCGTACCCCATAAATAAACAAGGAGTTTTTGTAGTTGTCACTGTGTTAAAAAGCCAGCAGGCGCACGCACGGCGACTGTCAGGAGACCTAAACTCCCCGAGAACTTAACTTGAACGCCCTCGAATAGTTAACAGTGTAAACAAACGTGGCAGACAATCTCTTCGGCAAACCACCGAGGAGCGACATCTTCCTAACTAATTGGCAAATCCAAAGTTGCTAGATTCAGCCCACTAAAAACAAAAATCTTCGGAGAACGCATTTTAGGAGCGACCAAATTACCTACTTCGGGACTTTGGGCAGAACAAAGGAACCCTAAGTCTTCAAGAGCTTAAAACACACACACACAAACACACACACACACACACACACACACACTTTGTGTTCCCCCCTTTCCCCGGATTCCTCCAACCTCTCCCCTAATAATGCGACACCAGAAGGTGAACAAGAGGCAGCCCCGATATTTTACAGATCCAGGGCGGTCGGAATTCCAAAGGGGACGAGGAGAGAAAAACCCTCCTCTAGCTCGGGCTCCTGCTCCCCTCCCCACGTCGCCCTCTAATTACCTCTCCGGAGTTCTCGGCCTCTTCTTCAGGCTCCCAATGGGAGCATGATGGGGGGCCCCTTCTCCCCAAGACGCTGCTCCCCCTCTAGCCCCCGCGGGGTCTTTTCTCTCGGTGAGGGCGGATGTGAATGGGGATGCGGGGGCGGCCTCTCGCAAGAGGAAGAGGAGACTGGCGGCTTCTGGGGTAGAAAGGGGGTGTCGCAGGCCGGTTTCCTGGTCTCAAGTTTTGACACGAGTTTCCCAGCCGCCCCAACAAAGATCCCCCGAGGAAAAGGGGAAGGCCAAAAAAAAAAAAGTTTTCTCTCGTGACACCGCCCGGAATTACTGCATGAAACTCACTTCCTGCCCGGGCACAGAAGCTGAATCCAGGTCCACGCACGGGAACCCGGAAAACCAGCTCGACCAAAGCCGGGGAGCAGAAGGCGGGCGGGGGGGGGGAGGTGTCTGTCTCTCCCGCCGCCGAGGACCGTCCGAGCCCCGGCCACAGAGATGGACGATCGGAATCCAGTCGCGCGAAGCTGCCGAGTGCGCTCGCGGTGCGACCAAGCCGACGACGCACCCCACTGCGGGCTCCTCCCGGTCCGGCGAGCGCGGCTACACCGCGCCCCTTCCTCTGCCGCCGCGGCCCTCGCTAGGCCAGCTCCCGCAGCCGCAGCCGCAGCCGCAGCCGCCGCCGGGGTTATTGTCTCGACCGCGCCTGCCGCGCCCTTCGCCCGCGCCGCCACCGCCACCGCCACCGGGGTCCCGAGTCCTGGGAGAAAGAGGGAGGGGGCAGGCACGCGGGCCGGCCCCCGCCCCCGGCCGTCAGTCCGCCCGGCCCGGGTCTCCGTCCCCTCCTCCTCCCCACCCCCTGCCCTCGCCTAGGGCTCGCGGCTTCCCGCCCGTGCCCCGCTCCCGCAGCCCCGGACCGCTGTGGCGGAGGAGGAGGCTCCGCGATTGCGGACGGGGTGCGAGGCAGAGCGCAGAGGGAGAGAGACGGACGCCGCCGCCGAGGGTAACGCCGGGGCCGCGGCCGGCCGCGCTACATTCACTAGACACCGACCCGAGGGGAGGGGAAGAAGGCGGAGGAGGGGGGAGGGACCGGGCTGGGGCCGAAGCAGGAGGGAGCGCGGCCTCTCCGGCTGAGGCTGGCGGGGAGCAAGCAGCAACAGCGCCCCCCGACCAGGACGGGGGGGAAGGCTCTGCGCGCGGCGGCGGAGGGGGAGGGGAAGAGGGCGGGGCCGCGGCGGGAAGCGGCCTCCAGCCGGCTCTCACCCCAACTGCCAGGCCCGGCGGGGCGGCGGGAGGCCGGCGCGAGCCAGTCAGCTCGCGGGGGCGGCGAGACGGCCCAATGGCTCGCCTCGGTCTCTGGGGAGGGGAAAGGAATGAAAGGAGCTGGGGAGGGGGGCAAGCCGAGCGCGGGGTGGGGGAGGGGCCGCCCGCGGCAGGTTCGAGGGAGAAGTGCACCGAGGTGGAGCCGCTAAGCGTGTCGGGGCCGCCTCCCCCGGCCGCGCCCCCGCCGGGTCCCCGCGTGGCCCCCCGGGGAGCCGATAAGTGGTAACTTTTTTTCTTTTTTGCATAAACCTAGTTTCCTTCCGAGGGCTCCTCCGGGCCCCCGGCTGCAGCGTGCATCCGAAGGCCGAAATAGCGAAAGGGCCCGGGGGCGCCCGACGGGCTCCTCCTGGAGCCGAGCCAAGTGCTCGTATTTTTCCCGAGTCTCGCCCGCCTGGTCCCTCTGGTCCTCCAGCCCCGAGTGGTGGGGGTGGCATCTGCAAGGTGTGAAGGGGCAGTAGAGGCTTCCTTGCAGCCGAGATTTCCAGCCGGCAGGTATCCCTTTCAGCTGGAGCATTCCCGACTGCCGGGAATTACACACCCAGGCTGCATGGATCCCGTCCCGCGCTGGGCCCACTTTGCTGCTTGTCTGCCTTCAGAGCAGTTCAATTCAGTCGCTTCCGGGCCTCTGATTCCGACCGACAGCCAGACAAAAGTTAAGCTAGGGTGGGGGGAAGGAGGCCCCCCAAAATTGCTTTTGTTATTACATAGTGCCCTCATTAGAAGAAGGATTTGACGAACCGCAAACAGCTTCTTTCTGCGCTGCAGCTGTTGGATTATGTCTAGCCATAATCATTCACTTGCGTAAAGCATCTGCATTTTTTATTATTAAGGGAGATATTAAAACGCTCAGTTTCCTTGCATGTGGAAAAACCGAAAAAGCCTCAACCATAGCAGTGGAGTAGTATAGCTTTTTGCATTGTTTGGCTCTTGCTTTTGACATGTTAACAGACTCAAAGATGATCTTGTTTCGCTATTGAAGAGGAACAGAAAAAGGAGATACGGTGCACATTTTATCTCCAGCCTTCAACGAAGCTGCATTATTTCTATGCTGGTAACTAATTTCTGGGCCACTGAAATCATTTATCTAACCCAAACCCTGCATATGACAGGGAATTATTTATTAAATAGTCTGAATAAAAAGTCCTATATACTGTGTTATCTAATAAATGGCTTTAAGCTTTTATCCAGAAAGAACTACACATAAATTATCCCCAACAGCTAATTTACCAAAGTGAATGTTTACTATTGAAAATGCCCTGGAATAAATTCATCTTCTATATATGTCCAAAACATAATTAGAGTGAGGGCTGTTATAATTTCTGGATTAACAGATTATTTTACTGGTCTAGAGCTGATTTTAGAGGGGTTTACAGAAAAATTCATCAAATCTCTGGTCCCTGGGGGAGTGTGTGTGCCTTTAAGGGTTACAACTAAAACAATTTTACAACTAGATGGCATCTTAGATGTCATCCAACTTCCTCATTATACATGTGGGGAAACTGAGGCCCTGAGATTTGCCCGATTCACATAATACATGTTTGAGGCCAGCAAAATCCCTGGTCCCCTGATTGCAAATCCAGCCTTTTCCCCCACAATATACCTTATCATTTGTTTAAGATCACATGGGGAACATCATCCCTGCAAATCAGAGATCCAGGTTCCAATTGTTTCTCTGGCATTTACTATCCATGTGACCACGGGCAAGTCACTGGATTTCAGCTTCTGCTTCTATAAAATGGAGATAGTAGCCTTTGCACTACTTACTTTATAGAGGGCTATTAAGAAAAATATTTTTAAAGCTGTTATATAAATGTGAATTATTGTGGCATACCAGGAACTAGAACCTGTATCTTTTTTTGTCATTTTTATTTATTTCCTTAGATATTTTCCAATTACATGTAAAAAAATTTAACAATCATTTTTTAAAATTTTAAGTTCCAAATTCTCTCCTTCCTTCCTAACCTTCCCCCCTTCCTGAGAAGGCAAACAATTTGATTTTAATTATACATGTGAGGCTATACAAAACATTTCCATATTAACCATGTTGCAAAAGAAAACAATACAAATAAAGATAGTAAAAAGAATTATGCCTCAATCTATATTCAGAGTTCATCAGTTTCTCTCCCTGGAGGTGGATAGCACTTTACATCGTGGGTCCTTTGGAATTGTCTCTGATCATTATCTTGATCAGTGTAAGCTAAGTCTCTCACAGTTGATCATTCTTATAATATTGCTGTTACTGTGTACAGTCTTCTGGTTCTGCTTACTTCACTTTACATGAGTTCTTAAAAGCTTCCCAGGTTTTTTTGAAACCATCCTGCTCATCATTTCTTATAGCACAGTAGTATTCCATCACCTGTATCTCTTTTCAAAGAGCTTTCAAGTCAAGAAAGTAGCTGATGCCTACCATTAACCTAAAGCTAGATTCCCAGCATATCATGATTATGTCAATGGACATAATATAAAGTCCCCGTAATAATATTTATGAAGTGCTTTAAAGGTTTTCAAAGGGCATTTCTGTCTTCACCCTTACAAGGTAGTGTAAATATCCCAACTTTACATATGAGCAAACAAATTCAGGTAAAATGGCTTGCTCAGTCATACATGTTTCAGAGCCAAGATTTGAACCTAAGATTGGGCTGACTCTTCAAGTCCAACTCAGTTAAAATATTTCCTAGAATGGTAAATATTTATTTAATTAAGCTTTAGCTCTTCCTGGACCTCTAAAGACCGATGAAATTCTGACCCAAACTTAATAATGTTGATTAGAATTATAGTGGGTCCTATGAGTTCCAGCTCTGCTCTACATCATCCCCATTTCAAAGGCTCTACTCTTTCTGAAGAAGACCCACTGGATTTAGAATCTCCTACATCATCCCCATTTCAAAGGCTTTACTCTTTCCAAAGAAGATCCACCTGATTTAGAATCTCTAAACTTTGGATCTCTTCTTTAGTAGATCTAACAGTCTCATTCATCCTACACCCAATACCACCATCCCTTACTGCATCCCTGTGTCTGCACCTATGGGAAGCATGAAGGCCCTGTAGTTGCAGTCCTTGAAACAAGACTAGAGAGTAAAATTGACAGCATTCGAGAATTCACAAGCCCATAAGTGGCAGGGCAGGAACTTAAAAACCAAATATTCTGACTTTAGTGTCCTTTACCACAATGTGGGGTGCAGTGCCTTAACCTGAGACTGAAAGAACTGACTTCCTACTGAGGATGCAGATTTAATTCCCAGAGTAAAGAGACCTGCAGAGATGAGAGACATTTCATTTAATTGAGTGTCCCAATTCTCATTCCACATGCACAAGACAAGCTCTTAAAAGTGGATGTGATGATGGACTTAGAATGCAGACCAAAACATATTTTTGGGAGATGACCCATGAAAGAATTGTTTTGCAGATTTGTAAGAAGAGTTGTGTTTTATTTTTCGGTGGGCTGGAGTTAGGAAGAAAAGGAAGATTTTCATTAATTAAAAAATTGAACTTTAAAAAATTTAAAGGAAAAAAAATTGGATTGCCCAGGGATCAGGAGAACACCCTTAGAGGAAAGACATTTGACTTAACAGGATTTCTGCTTCAAATTGTTTCAATACCCAGAAATGTCAGGGCCCCATGAGGCTCTGAGTCAACTCTATGTCGTCAGTGATTGAGGCCAGAGAACTCCACAAAGAAACAAATCCTAGAAATACTGATATTGGAGCAATATCCGACTATTTTCCTGAGAGATATGAAGACTTACGTAAATCCACAACTTCCAGAAAACAATGGGGAGGTGGTGACATAACTGCTTGAGGAGGGGGAATCTTCCTTTTGTGGAGTCTAAACTTTCTCAAGGGAAGGACAGAGAGAAGGTGGGAATGGTTTTTGTTTTCCAGACTGTTAGGTCCCAACCAAACTTGCCCATTCATTGTTTCCTGGAATGAGACATTCCATCTCCTGTCTTTGTACAAGCTGTCTTGCATACCTAGAATGCATTCTTCCTTTACCTCCAACTCAGTATTTGCAGCTTCTTTCAAGACTCACCTCAAATGCTACCTCCTATATGAGGTAAATTCTGGTCTTTTCCCATTCCCATCCCTCTTGCTAGAGACCTCTACCCTGAAATTACTTTTTGTTTACATTTAAATTTTCTTATATGTCTACTGTTGTTCCCTTCCCTACCCTCTCAACCCCCCCCAACATACACACACACACACACACACACACACACACACACACACACGAATATAAGTTCCTTAATGACAGGAACTTTCAATTTCATCTTGTCAAGCCCATGCAGCACCTAGAATTATATCTGGTACCTAATAAATTCTTATTGAATGAATGAATCAACCTAAATGTCAAAAACCCTTTAGTAGCCTAAATGAATAGCTCTGGCTAAGTCATCCAGGCCTCTTCCTTCCCCATCCTTCATGGGGCCTCTTCATTTCTGGAACTACGCTTATGGCTTGCCCACGTGTCTTCCTGCATAATATAATTTCAGAGACTAGAAAAATTTTCTGGTCCCCAAAATACCTCTCACACCTGTTGGGTCTATATTAGATGATAACTAAAACTTTACTTCATTCTTTAGCTTTTTTGTCTTCTTTTAAAATCCAAACTCAGACACTTACTAGCTGTGTGACCCTGAGCAAGTCACTTAACCTTGTTTACCTCAGTTTCCTCATCTGTAAAATGAGCTGGAGAAAGAAATGGCAAACCACTCCAGTATCGTTGCCAAGAAAACCCCAAATGGGGTCATGAAGAATCGGACGTGACTGAAACAACTGAACAGCAACAACAAAAATACAAATAGCCCTTGGAGCTATCTTATCAGTCACATTATACTTTTTAACTTGAATTAATTTGTCAGATCCTTCCATGAAAATAAGTTTGATTGAGAGGTGCCTCCTCCCAATTCCCATTAACAGATGAAGAAACAGATTCAGAGATGATTGTAGGCGCTAGGAATATGATACTAAGTATCTGGCTAGTGTAGAAAGAGAAGGCTGAGGGGGTAACAGTGATACATTTCACATACTTTGCAATTTTGATCAAGGTTTGCTCTTTTCTACATTCCAAGAATAATCCCCAAACTAGAATGACCTTTAGAAGTTGAAAGATAAGATCCATTTGCCTTAAGCCTTCTACTACTTGGTCAGTTTTTATATTGTCTTATTAATCTCATCCTACATTAAATGATCAATTCTGATCAAACTTTATATTGACAGAAATTTATTATCTGCACACTTCAAGAAAATAAATGTGTATCACAAGTGGGAACTACACAGATTGATAGCCAAGTTATAAATGTATTGAATTAAAAATACTTGATTTAGTAATTAATTACTGAGACTACTTGCTTCTAACTTACAGGAATGGCAAAATAGTAAATTAGATCCTAGCCTTACACACTTATATTTTAGAGATATTAGGTTATTGTGAATGGCTTTCTCCAGGACTTTAAAATGGATTTCGATTTTAGATTATGCAGTGCCCTAACTAGAAAGCCAGATGCTATAAAAATAGATAATATACAGATGTATTGTATGATTGACTGAATCATAGTAATCCCTAATAAAGTAATGTTTGAAAAAGATCTGGGAGTTTTAGTGGAATGAAAGCTCGAGAAGAGTCAACAGTATGATTCTGGCAGTAAAAAAAGCTCGTGGGATCATGGAATCATTAAGAGAAACATGGCTTCCAGGAATTAGAAAGTGATAGTTTACACCAGGGCTTCTTAAACTTTTTCTGCTTGAAACCCCTTTTCTCCTTTTGGCAGCTTTTGTTGGCATTGCATGGCCTGAGGACATGCGCAGTGCGATGTGTGAATGCTTTGTGTTTAGAACCAAAGCTGCACTGAAGTTGCTCTATGGAACAGGGCAAGTGCTGCCAGAAATACCTTGGATTCATTATGAATTTAATTTTTAATTAATTTTTGGTGTTGTGCATTCAGAAATTTTTTACTGTTGCCCATATAGTGTTGTGACCCACAGTTTATGAAGTCCTGATCTACACCCCATTGATCAGACCACATCTGAAATAGTGTTCAGTTGAAAGTACTACATTTTAGGGAGGACATTGGCTGGCTGAATGGAGATCAGACACTAAAAGGCAACATTTAAAATGGAGAAAGTCCTTGAGTCCATGCCATATAAGAATCAGTTGAAGGAGCTAGGTATGTTTAGCCTAGAAAAAAAGAAACAGAAAAGAAAAAGGAATGACGTGACCAGATCTGTTCATTAGGAATATTACCCTAGTAGCAATATGAAGCATGGATTGGAGGAAATGGAAGAGAGGAGAGAATAAAAGAGCTTTTAGGAGACTGTGACAGTAAGCCCTGCAGTTGGTGAGGATTATACCATGGTAATGAGAATGGGGATAGGGAAAAGAAGATGAATGCAAGAGATAGTGTGAAGGTATGATCATTTAGACTGTGTAACTGACCATATAAGAGAAGAGAGAGGAGAAGAATCAAAAATAGCACCAATGTTTTGAAAAATGGCAGATTGCGTGAATGATGGTATCACTGACAGAAATAAACTAAAAATAGTATCAGGGCTTGGGGAAAAGGCAATAAACATGTTTGAGACAAGTTGAATTTGAAATGCTAGTTAGCACAAGATTAAGGTGGAAATGTACTATAGGCACTTAAATGTGTGAGTCTAGTGACGAGAAAGATCAGAGAAGGAAGTACATATTTCAGAGTGAAAGAAGTACAGAATCTAGGAATTGAAAGGTCACCTAGTCCAACCAATACCTGAAAGAATCCTCTTAAACTGAGGACTGTTTGCAGATGGCCTGTGAAGAAGAATGCACTAATTCCTGGGACAGCCCATTCCACTTTTGAATATTTCTAATTGTTAGGAAAAAATTTTCTTTTCTTTGAGTCCTGCCTCTCTCAGCTTCCACCCCTCACTTCCAGTTCTGCTCTCTAGGACCAAATGGAAGAAGTTGAATATGTCTTCCATGTGACAGCCCCTTAGACAGTTGACATGCCACCCTCCCTGTCCCATTTTCTCTTCTAAAGGCTAACCATCATCAGTTGTTTCCAACTATCTTTGTAAGACTTTTTCACCATACTAGTTGTTTTCTCTTTGGATACTCTCCAGCTTATCAATATCCTCCCTAAAATACAGAATTAAAAAGATTGTCACAGATGTAGGATAACCAGCACAGAGTAAGAAAGAGTAACACATTCTCTCAGGCTGGCCACTAGGCCTCTCTTAATACTGTCTAAAATTACTTGAGCTTTTTTTGACTTCTGTAGTTCACATCACACAGCTACACTCATATCAAACTTGAAATCCACTAAACCCCCCAATTTTTTCCAGACAAAACAGCTGTCTGGCCAAACTTCCTTCATATGGTATTTGCGAAGTTGATATTTTGAACTTAAGTGTATGACTTTAGATTTATTCCTATTACATCGTGTCTTACTAGATTCAGTCTAGACTGACCCTGTGAACCAATATTTTACTTATTCCTCCCAGATTTGTTTTATTTGCAAACTTAATAAGCATTGCCACCTATACCTTTAACCAGATCTACTAAAAATGTTAAATAGCACAAGTCCAAGGGCAGAACCCAGAGCACTCCACTAGAGTCCTCCCTGTGATTCTGATGACTCTCAAATATTACTGATTTTCAGTCCAAACATTCTGAAACAATTCAGCAATACAAATTTAAGCCATCATCCCTCCATCTTATCCAAAAGAATAGCATGAGAGATTCTGTCAAATGTTATGCTAAAATGCAGATAAACTATATAATTCTTTGGACTAATCTGCCTATCTAGTAAACCTGTGAAAAAGGGAACATGCTTAGTCTGTCTTGATCAGATGAAGCCCAACTGGCCTTTTATGAGCAACACTCCCTTTTCTAGTTATTCCATACCTTTAATAGTATATACTGGGGAATTGGCCAATGAGGGCCCAGTTCTGAGAGCATGAACAATGTGCTTTACCTTGGTGAGCCTTCTACAGGGATATGGATTGGACAGACACTTTCTCCAACTTAGAGGATGCACAAGTATCCTAATTGTTTCTTGCTTACTGTTCCAAGACAAAAAAAAAAAGGCTTTTAATTGGCTGCTGAGCCAGAACCTAGTATGCATACAAAAGACTCAAATGGGGATCTCTCCTTTCTGGAAGGTGTAAAGAGAAAACAAAGAACTGCTGTGGATCTCTGGTTGGTGAAAGGGTCTCAGACCCTCTCTCTCACCATCTCTATGTAATTATGAGTATATAGGGGTAGTGTTTGTTTTTGTTTTTATTCTCTGTCACGTTTATTTTTACCTGATGACAGGTCAACAAGTACTAGAGACTAAATGGACCAGATCACAACCTTATGAGCTTTTGAACCATCAGAAGAGCTATCAGACATTCAGCAACTGAAGTCCATAGAAGAGTCTTCTGATAGCTATGCCATCTAAGCATGGAGAGGACCGAGACCTGAGAACTGATCTTTTTGACCAAGTCTTTTTGACCATAGCTGAGATGCCGCACCCTGAAAGCCAAGGAATGATTAGTCCAATAACTGCCACACATTCAGAAGTGAACTAGATGGGGAGAATGTTGATAGTCGCCACTATAAGCTTCAGTCCACTCTCCCCAGGGACCAAATTAGTACAAGAGAGCATCTGGTCTTAGAGGTATCTGTACTTCAGTTCTTGGCTATGTCTTTCCAATAAATTTCCTTTGTGAAAGCTAATTGACCTTAATTGATAGAATGATAATAGGGAAATATTAGATGGTAAGGGATATTGGGGGAACATACTGGATAAGGGCTTGTGAGTGATAGTACTAGAAAACAGCCTCAATCCCTCTAGGTTACCTCTTGAACCTTAAGAGGAGAATGTAGCCACATCCTGGGAACCCAACCTCCCACTGGACTAGGGTTAGACTAGTAGCCCCAGAACTGATATGCAATAGAAATACATTGTAGAATTTTGTCAGGCATCAAAATCAAGCTCACTGGCCTATAGTTTGCAGACTTTACTCTTTCTTTCTTTCCTTTTTTTTTAAAGAAGGATAGACAACCTTGTTCTGTCCTTCCAGCACGTCTTCTGTTCCCCCGATCTTTCAAATATCACTGACTGTTGTTGCTCAGCAAACACACTCATGAGTTCTTTAAGTTCCTCAGAATAAAGTTTATCTGAGCCCAGTTGACTTGAACTCATTAAGAATAGGTAGGTGCTCTCTTTCTATCTGCCAAGTTGTTTTGTGTTTCAGCTCTCCATTGACCATTTGTGTTTTGTATGGATAAAAAAAAATTATTTGCCTTGCATGATGAAAAATGGTATCTACCTCCAGAAGGAAAGAACTGTTGAACTCTGAGTGCAGATTGAAACATACTTTTTTTACTTTATTTTTCTTTTTGTCTGTGTTTTCTTTTGCAATATGGCTAATGTGGCAATATGTTTTACATGACTTCACAGGTATAGTTGATATCAAATTGCTGGCCTTCTCAAGGAGAGAGGGAGGAAGGTGGGGAGAATTTTGAACTCAATTAAAAAATTATTGTTAAAATTTTTCACATGTAATTGTTAAATATTTTTTAAAATGAATAATTTTTTTAAAAATTATTCATCTTGGCAGAGGAAAGAGAAGCAAAATGAGAGGTAAATAGTTCTGCTTTGATGCCATTGTCTCTTCCCAACATTACATCCACTCTGAGTAGCAGTGCTACTCCTTCTCTGATTCTCCTTTTTTTCTTGTTTGGTGATCTCTAGTTCCTTAGCATTCTTTGCCAGCCTCAACTTAATAATTTATGGATCATGAAACTATTATTACAGAACCATGTCACATTTTCATATTTATCCATCATTACCTATCCCTACTTTAACTTTCTTTGCATGTCTTTTTAAAATCTAAGTTGGTTGAAATTAGCTGGGGGCAGCTAGATGTCAAAGTGAATAGCGCACTGGGCCTAGAGTCAGGAAGACACTGATTCTGAATATGGCCTCAAACACCTACTAGCTGTGTGAACCTAGGAAAATCATTTAACTTCTGTTTCCCTAGTTTCCTCATCTGTAAAATAGGGATAATAATAGCATTTACCTCCCAGAGTTATTATGAGTCTCAAATGAAATAACAATTTTCAGGGCAGCTAGTTGCTGCAGTGGATAAATCTCCGGCCTTGGAGTCAGGAGGACCTAGCTGTGTGACTCTGGGCAAGTCACTTAACCCTGATTGCCTCACAAAAAAAAAAAGAAAGAAAAAGAAATAACAATTTTAAAGCACTTAGCACAGTGCCTGGAACATGGTAAGTGCTATATAAATGTTAGCTATTATTATTATCATCAATAATAATAATAATAATAATAATAATACATTCCCTTGCATTCCTATCAATTATATTAGTAAATTCCTTCTCTTACCTCCTCATCAAAATTATTTCTCTTTGTCTCTTCAAAATTTTCATTTCTGAAAGTTTCCCAAACCTCATGAGCTGACCTCCCCCGTAGAATTTTAGTTCATGGTATCCCTTTCCTAACTCTTAAACCCTTTGAAATATGTTCTAGGATGCACATCATATTATACCTAGCTTTTCTTTCCTCTATCACAAATTCTAAAAGGGAATGGTCACTTAATGCCAAGGTTCCCATGATTTTGCATCAGTAACCCATTCCTCTTTGTTGGTAAGGATCAGCTCTATAATGGCAGTTTCCCTTATTGCTTCCTCTACCTTTTGAAGGATAAAACCATGGTTAAGAAAAGGCAATAAATTATTAGCTGCTCTATTTTTGCTTGAGAATGCTCCAGCATATGTCCAGAAAGTTAAAATGCTGCCATTGCTACTACATCATGCTTCTATGCTAGGCCTGACTTGTGATCTATTTCACCAACACCTCATCTATTTCCTCTTTCTGTGTGGGTAGTCTGTAGTATATAAACAATATTGCTTCTGTTTCTGCCTACGTTCATCTTCACCCAACTGTTCTATACACCATGCTTCTCTCCTCGGGTTCCTGGATATCTTCACATGTGTGTATTTCTTTAATATACAGTGTTGTTTTTACTTTTTACTTGAACATTTCTTTTGAATAAAGTATATCCTTCCAGAGCCATATTACATCTTGCATCCCATTCCACTAAGCTGAGTGATATCAATGAAATCCAATTTGCTTCTTTCTATTATGATCTCTCATCCACTGTGCTTGTGGTCTTTTTTCATTTGGGCATAACATCTGAAGTTATGGGCCTTATTTATTCTTCCTCTTTTATTTAGTCTCCTGTGAATTTCTGGATGTTTCCATGACTACTCTTTTCCCTATATTACTGTTGTTTAAGCTTTTTTCAGACCTGTCTGATCCTTTGCGACCCCTTTTGGGGTTTTCTTAGCAAAGATACTGGAGTGGTTTGTCATTTCTTCTCCAGCTCATTTTACAGATGAGGAAACTGAGGCAAACAGGATTAAGTGATTTGCCCAGGGTCACACAGCTAGCAATATCTGAGGCTGGATTTGAACTCAGGTCTTCCTGACTGTAGACCTGGCACTCTATCCACTGAGCCACCTAGCTGCCCTAGCAACATTTTCTGGGTGTTTGTGTGGCTACTCTTTCCCCCATATTGTAGTTATCTTTTAGGGTATGTAGCTTGATAAATATAAGTAGGTAGTTTTCTCCCTCCTTTCTTTTCAACTAATAGTCCTTTTGATTAGATTTCCATGACTCCATGCAGATGCATTTTTACCATTTGTTGTTAGATATACTTCATCCCAGTATGCTTCCACTTTAAACCATGATCCAAAAATCTAACTCCAATTCTCAGACACCATCTTCCCAACCAGATGATCATGTACCAAATCTGCCTTTCTCTTCTGAAGCCCTTGCCTTCAACTGGCAACAGAGATGACAGCAGCACCTATGCCCCTAAGGCCTTCAGTTTCTTGCCCAAGACTTCCTAATCCTTAGCAATGCTAAGTGAGAAGTTGTCACCAGGTTTAACAAATCTTAAGCAGTTCTTCACGTCCTGAGTACATGCTTAGGAGAGACAGCAGACCTCTCTGTTGTTACTGTCAGGATGACAAAGAGTTGCTTCACTAACCCTTTAGTATGGAAAACATCCTAACTGGACTTTCTGACTCTTCTTTTTCTGATCCTTAAGTAGAAGTGATATTAGATGTGGGAGTGATTAAGATCACCAAGGGAGAAGGTGTAAAAAGAGATAAGTAACCGGGACAGGAAGCATACCAATTAAGGATAAGGAAAATGAAACAGCCAGAAAACAAAACAGAGACAGAGGGATTAGAAAGGGTAAGAAAGTTCTAAAGTCAAGGGAGGAAAATGCATCCATGAAGAGAGAGTAATCAACGATCAATATCAAATGCTGAAGACAAGTCAATTAAGATGAAAACTGGAAAAAAAATAAGCATTGGTTTTGTCAGTTAAAGGGCCATTGGTGTTCTTTAAAAAAGCAATTTAAACAGATTGGTCTGGACTGAAGGCAGAAAGCAAGGGCTAGAGATAAGTCAATATTGAAGAGAGGAAACATAGGGCGCATATAACTTTTTTTTTCAATTAGCAGGCATTTATTTGTCTCCCATTAACCCCACACTGCTGAGAAAAGAAAAACAAAACAAAACCTATATGATATATACATAATTGCATGTTTTACATAAAACAAGTTCCCACACTGTCTATGTCCAAAAATGTATGTCTCATTCTGCATATTGAGCCCACTGTTTCTCTGTCAGGAAGTGAGTAGCACGCTTTATCAATGGTCCTCTGGAAATGTGGTTGATTACTCATTGTGTTATTCATGTGTGTTCTTAGGTCTTTAAAGTAGTTTGTCTTCATAATGCTATTGTCATTATAGAAATCATTCTTCTGGTTCTGATCACTTCATTCTGCATCAGTTCACACAAATATTCCCAGATCTCTCTGAAACCATCCCTTTGGTCATTTCTTAGGACACAATATATTGATACTCCATAATTTATTCAACCACTCTCCCAAATGGTTGAATATCCATGATGGTCATCCTCTTAGTTTCCAATTATTGTTTCCCATTATGAAAAGAGTCACTGTAGATATTTTTAAATGTATAGATCCTTTTTCTCTTTTTTTGATCCCATAGGGGTATCACTAGTACTGATATCACTACTATACTAGTAGGCCTAACATGGTATTCTTGGGTCAGTGGACAAGCACAGTTCAATGACTTTGGGAACATAGTTCCAAATGTACAGACAACTTTTTTCAAGAAAAGATTAAAGATACATGAAAGAAGGGAGATGATAGTTGGAGGTGCTGGGTGAAGTTGGAGGGAATGGGATCAAGGGTGTAGATAGTAGACTTAGTATTAGCAAAGAATGGAAATAGAGAGAGACAGAGCTTTTTCTCTGAGGCAGAAGGGAAGGAGGAAAGAATGGGTGATAATACTGAAAATTGTGAGAATTAGAGGAGGGAAGTTATGATAACTCTGGTTGGATGCCCTTGATTTTCTTTGTTAAGTAGACTAGGGGCAGCAAGGTGGTGAAGTGGATAGAGCTCCAGCCTTGGAGTCAGGAGGACCTGAGTTCAAATCCAACCTCAGACACTTGACACTTACTAGCTGTGTGACCCTGGGCAAGTCATATAACTCTAATTGACTCACCAAAAGAAAAAAAAATCAGAGGCTGTTATTGTAAGTGTAATGGATAAGGATGTTATTTGA